AAAAACACTGTCTTGTTAGGAAGAGGTGTCTGGCCATTTGCCTTAAAAGACTGACATTTCTGTTCTTGATTTTTTTTTTTTTTAATTTACATGCGTTAATATTCTGCACCCAAACTGAACTAAACTAGTTTTTCTTGGATATCTGTCTTTATTTCATTTAACCGGTAGCATACCATTTCAGTCTGCATGCTTTTCCAAGGAAGATCAGATTATCAGGAAATGTCCTGGCTGCAGTAAAGGAAAACTGAACATCCACATGCACACACACAAATACATACACGCACGTGAAAACAAAGCACCGTTGAGCCCAGACATAGTCCAGTGATTGATATTTTAAGTTGCACGTGACATTCTTTCCTTGTTCAGTTGCACTGCATTTAGATATTGTATGGCTCTCCAGACATGCTATGCATAATTTTACATACCATCTGCTTTACATGCCAGGTTCCATATGCACCATGTATAACCTAAAACCAATATTTTGATTGATTTGAGCTACAGTAGAGGCTTTTGTTCTTAAATTGCTGTATAGAAGAATGTAGTCCTAAATAAATTATCCAATGAATGTGTTCTAGGACTGACAAACAATAACATTTATTTTGAAAATGTTCTTCAAGGTGTAATATTGACAAAATTTAGGTGACTTTCAAGAATCCCTGTAATGTTGCTTYCTAGATTCAAATACCAAGAGACATGTAAATGCTTGCTACCATTCACTTAACAACCGTAGCAATACAAGGGCAKAAACACTTTTCAGAGTCAGACAAGGGACAGCAAAAATAGTCTTGAAATATTCATCCGAATAAAGATGAACAGCATTTACTCCTCAAAACAGGATGAGTTTTATAAAGCTGCTRAAAGTGAGTGATGGTTATTCAGAATCATGTCCTGGCATTTCCTGRTACTTCTTATTTGGCTTCATTCAACTCTGCTTTAAATACTGGAGTCTTACATATTCTTCAGGTACAGATAAGCCTAAAAACCCTAAATTTCTATTTTGAAGACTCTGTCCTCAAGAACATCTATCTGAATCTCCATATACATCTCTGAAGAAAAAGTATTGAAATACCAAAATGAAAAAAAAAAAAGAATTTCAAACAATGGCTCTCAGACAAACAGAAAGATTTATTCAAACATATATCCTCATTTTCAGAACTACCAATTCTCTTCATTTAAGAAAGAAAAGAGATTTGCTTTGGACCTTAATAGAAGCACCATCATCACACCCCTCCATAACTCCAACAAGAAAAAAGAAAAATGAAAAGAAAAAGTCCAAACATCTTAATATTGAAGCAATTACCATATTTTTCACATTTTAATTGAAATTGAATTATTATCAATAAAAATAAGTTGTGGCATTACAATGTGTTAGCAAAGAGCAGAGTGGAGAATACAGGAAGCAACAAAGTAGCTTGAACAAAATTTTACTCYGTGCAATGTCCCATAAAATATGTCCCCTTCACTTCCATCTATGGTACATGATAATTATTTGAATTCACAGGAAAATTAGAAAGAAACCTGTAAGATGGCATTTTAAGAATGAGGTGTATGTCTTGTCTATGTACTTGCAAGGAGAAAATAGATAATCAAGTCAATCGTTTGTCCATTTTGCAGGGTTTTTTTTTTTTCCTTTGTAACATCTTATTCTGTTCACAGTTAAGTATTAGTGACACGTTCAGTTCACTTCAATGACAATTCTACCAGATGCCTACAAATAAAACTGAACGAGAGATGCAGCACTTCAAACTTTGTTTTTATATTTGCCTATTAACACAAACTTGTACTTAAAAGAGAAACATTATTG